CTATGCCATGCCTCATCTTATTCGTTTTTGTTAATAACGTTTTGTAAGCTAGTTTGTCATTGAATCTTACTGTTTTATTGTTGTGCATTTTAAAAATAATGAATCCATCTTTTTTTTAGTCTTAAAAGGTGAAAGGTGTATAGATGTAAGCAAAACAGACAATTATATTTTATTGTAAAACCTGACAAGATCGTGAAATCGAAAGTGAAAGCATCCGAAGCCGGACTTATAACACAGCAAAAGAGGAACTCCCGTTCACAAAATTCAAATCACAAATAATACTACTGATGAAAAAGAACGGGTTGAATGTTAACTACTTTCATTTCCATATAACTATAAACTACGATAAAAGTTCATCAGCATGCATTGATTAATAGCATTTTGTAGCACAAAAAAAAAAAGCAACCAACTGAGAAAGTTAATCGCAAAGGAGCGACCAGTGGGAAGAACGAGTCTGGAGCCCTGAATTGTCCAGCTCTCTCTGTCAATGATCTAGCACCCCCTCAGCACCTGCTTTCAAAATTCTCTGGTGCTGCCCCTGGTACATCGATGTAGGCTATTTTTGAAAAGCAAAAATTAAGTTTGTCCAACTCTAAACCCAGTCCCCAAGTAAATTAGGTTATTAAATAAAAAACTAGCAAAACAAGTTGCGCGGTGTCCCCACCACTTTTCAAAGCAAAGTTACGCCACTGATTGTAAATATAAAGTTCACTGTTATCCCACCGGTAATATAAGTACTATTGTGACCACCAACATGTTTACTCATTCTATGACACTCAACAAAACTGAATATATGTGAATTCATATACAGGTGCATCTCAATAAATTAGAATGTCGTGGAAAAGTTGATTTCATTTTCCAGCAGGATTTGGCACCTGCCCACACTGCCAAAAGCACCAAAAGTTGGTATGACCATGGTGTTGGTGTGCTTGACTGGCCAGCAAACTCACCAGACCTGAACCGCATAGAGAATCTATGGGGTATTGTCAAGAGGAAAATGAGAAACAAGAGACCAAAAACTGCAGATGAGCTGAAGGCCACTGTCAAAGAAACCTGGGCTTCCATACCACCTCAGCAGTGCCACAAACTGATCACCTCCATGCCACGCCGAATTGAGGCAGTAATTAAAGCAAAATGAGCCCCTACCAAGTATTGAGTACATGTACAGTAAATTAACATACTTTCCAGAAGGCCAACAATTCACTAAAAATGTTTTTTTTATTGGTCTTATGAAGTATTCTAATTTGTTGAGATAGTGAATTGGTGGGTTTTTGTTAAATGTGAGCCAAAATCATCACAATTAAAAGAACCAAAGACTTAAACTACTTCAGTCTGTGTGCATTGAATTTATTTAATACACGAGTTTCACAATTTGTGTTGAATTACTGAAATAAATGAACTTTTCCACGACATTCTAATTTATTGAGATGCACCTGTATTAATACTAGACACCTTAAAGATAATGTGTACCAAAAATCTTTGTCATATCTTTATGTTGACATACTTTACTAGCCTTTTGTTTTGGAGCTTTGATGCAGCCATCATATTCTCAAGGTGCAAACAGGAAATAAACTGCTTTGGTCATATGACAATTTGCACTAATCATGTGAAACTGCACATATTTCATTGAGACCCTTTATTTTTTCCATATTTGCAGAAGTGCACTAAAACATCAGTCAGTAAGGTTTTTAGAGCTTTATAAATGAAAACCTTTTTTACAGTCACTATTGTCTACAGTCACTAAACCGGTGTGGGATTAAATGGGTTAAGTAGATTTTTGGGTGGTTTTGTCAGGTCCTGTCAGTCACAAGCAAACACTGTCGGTCATGAGGATCTGTGGTAACCACATCTACAGCTTTGGAACAATATGCAAACTGAGATATGTATTTATTTAATATAAACATAAGCAGAGTTATTGATCTCAGATGTCATCTGAGCCTATCAGTTTTTGTGGCTGTATAATAAAGCTGTTTGAATGATAACAGACTGACCGGTCTGGTTGATGTATTGTCCAGGTGAGCAGGTTGAATGTTTCATGGCCGTTTTACAGTTTGAGAGCAAGTCTATACAGTAATAACCTGGCAGAGGTTCACACACTGTATCTGATATTAACGTACATGCCCGCTTTTCTCTCAGCCCATTACCTTTGACAAGAAAGGAAACAAATGAGTCAATTGTAGGTCATCTGGGGGAAAAAAGTGTTACAATATATTTGAAATCCAGGGGTGACTTGATACAAAATAAATTGTTACTCACTTGAATCACAGACAAAACATGCCAGACATTTTGTGAATCCATTAGGGACATCAGTGTAGGTCATCGCAGGACATGAATCACATGTTGTGCTTGTGTACACATCACAATGGTTCTTAACTCTTTTTCCTAGACAATATTAATAATTACCAACACGTTATTATAGATATCTTTTGAAAATAACAATAAATACATATATTTGTGTAATTATATAAGCTGTATTTATTGTATGTCTGTATATTTAAGTCAATTGTGTGAAATATAATTTTTTTTTAAGTATCCTGAAACATGGTTGGGAACCACTTAATACTACATCTGTCAAATAAGTGACTTAAATGGGTCATATAATGAAAAATAAAATGCCCCTTGACACTGCAAAATAAAACCACTATATAAATGTACAGAAATAGATTTCAACAACTTCAACGAAGAATAATTACTATTACTATCTGCCAGTGTTGGGGAGTAACTAGTTACATGTAACGGAATTACGTAATTTAATTACAAAATAAAAGTAACTGTAATCAGTTACAGTTACTGAGAAAAAAAAACATGTAATTAAATTAGTTACTTATAAAAATGTCAAGGATTATTTTCACACACACTCCCACATACAGATTTAATTGATTTCTTTCATAAATTGCAGTGACTGCTCTAAAATATGAAACACCAATGTTTCAGGAGTTTAGAACAAGCTTATTCGATAACTCTTTTATTTCCTATATGGGTTTATGTATAGCTATGCTTTATTTTTTTAAAGATTTACTTTTTTCCAAGGCATTGTTAGATTTCAGTGTTTACTGTCATAGCTATGTAAAGATTTGATTCCAAAAAACAGTATCATAGCTAATAACATTTTTTGTTATGATTTTAAATATGTATTTAATCTCAGAATTATCTCAAAGTAAGTCTGATTTTGTGGTGGCTGTGCTTTAAAGGGGACATTGATCTTCCACAAGTTGGTATGATTCTTTAGGGCCTTTATTAACGGTCCGCAACATACTTTGGTTAAAATTCCTCAGTGGTCGTGTAAAACAACACTCTTTTTACCTTGCTCTGTTCACAGCGACTCATTTTGGGGCATGTCCCTTTAAATGCTAATGAGCTCTGCTCACCCACCTCTTTCTTCTGTGGAAGAGCAAAGGTGATTTGCAAAAAAATATAAAGTGTCAGACTGACTTCTTCTGGAGGTGCAGCTGGATCACGAACAATGGATACTGATCTGTCCTTGAGTTTTAACTTTTTAACAAAACCTGCCTTGAAATGTCCCTCATTCAGAAAGCAGTCTGGAGTAAAATTATTTGCGCAGACATAAACGAATTTAGGTGTATTCAGTGGCGCATTACCATTAAAAACAAAACTAATGCACTGCGTCCTCGGTGGCTCTGATGATGGGAGAAAATTAAGATTCTTATGTTCTTTTACATCACAAAACTACAAAACACCTGCATTGCTTACAAGACATTGTCGCTACAGCTGCTGGAGCGTGGAGAAAATGATGTACTTCGTACAACTGGTTGAGGGCGAAACCATGCTAATATTGGACAGTACATTAGCAGTTGTGGGCGGGGCCTGAACAATATGACATTATACTGCTCAGAAAATCAAAACGGCTTAATAATTGAGACTGTTTAGGATTTGGGGGGATAAAAAAAAAAAAAGAAGTGAATGGATTTTTATCATTGTATGGTGGTTGTGTCTACACACTGCTAAGATACATTTATATGCAAACACCATGTAAAAGTGAATTTTGCATCCAACGTCTACTTTAAAATTGAAATATAATCTTAATTCAAATGATGAAGGATTTTGAAAGTGTGACAGTAATCAGTGTTGAGTACTACTGTAAGGTTTACCGTGCCTGGTTTACATGTTTGAAAATGATAAACGGTTGAAAAAATTATAAATTTAAAAAAGTAATCAAATGTAATCAGTTACATTACTTTTATAAAGTAATTGAAAAGTTACACTACTTATTACATTTTAAGTAGGGTAACTTGTAATCTGTAACCCATTACATTTCCAAAGTAACCTTCCTAACACTGCTATCTGCTGCTGCTAGCCCACCAAAAATACCTAAGTGGCTAACGTTTATTCACATCAGTCCAAACTTAAAATTCAATTCAAGTTTATTTATATAGCGCTTTTCACGATACAAATCGTTGCAAAGCAACTTTACAGCAAATTAAGTTTCTACAGTATTTAGTGGTAGCTTATCAGTGGTGACTGTCAGTTAATGTACATATGGCAGAAATGTATGGAAAAATCAATTAAAGGGTACAATGCTGTTTCAAGCGCTGCACGGGACTTGCTCAGGAAGAATGTCTCCAATCCAAAGAAGTGTGTTTTTGGTTGTAAGGGAAAGTTATCTTTGTTCAGCTTTCTAAAGAACTCAGCGTTATGCAAATAGTGGATAGTTTTTTTTCCAGGGCAGCAACAGAGTTTCACAAGTGTGTTTGTTTGACGAACGTTTTATAAACAAGGCCCAGTTCGACGCTGGATTTGCACATCGTTTGATACTGAAAGATGGAGCGGTCCCAGCTATAAAAGATCCCGGTCATGATTCAGAACTGCAGACGGTAAGTGAAACGGCATCAAATGTCTGTTTTGTTGGCATTCGGCGCCCAAGTGCTCGTCACTCTTTAGCTCCGCCCACTGCACCCCTCCAGGAGCTCGGCTTTTTCCGGAGAGAATCGTAAAGCTGTATCTTTCTTTTATGAATATGATAAAACTAAAGACTTTTTGGAGATATGAAGGATGCAGAACTACTCTATAGGTACTCAAGATTAACATGCGATTGGGTGAAACTGTGTGTGTTATGCCCCCTTTAAAGACAATCAATTAAAGACATAATCAAACAGACGATTTACACGATTAACAGCTTAAACTATTAACAACTTAAAAGACTGTTTTATGAGCATATTAGTTATTAGGCTCATCAGTAATAATGATGAGACTGTTCAAAGCCTGGTACCACGTGACAAATGACAAAAAAAAACTCATATGACTTTAAATCTGACCTCATATGTTGTAGTAATGAGTGAAGGATGGCACATACCTGGATCACACATTGGGCAACACTCTCCATTAATTTCATATTCTGCATTATTACATGCTGCCATACAAAGCACAATGTTCATGTGTCCCTCATTCAGAAAGCAGTCTGGAGTAAAATTATTTGCGCAGACATAAACGAATTTAGGTGTATTCAGTGGCGCATTACCATTAAAAACAAAACTAATGCACTGCGTCCTCGGTGGCTCTGATGATGGGAGAAAATTAAGATTCTTATGTTCTTTTACATCACAAAACTACAAAACACCTGCATTGCTTACAAGACATTGTCGCTACAGCTGCTGGAGCGTGGAGAAAATGATGTACTTCGTACAACTGGTTGAGGGCGAAACCATGCTAATATTGGACAGTACATTAGCAGTTGTGGGCGGGGCCTGAACAATATGACATTATACTGCTCAGAAAATCAAAACGGCTTAATAATTGAGACTGTTTAGGATTTGGGGGGATAAAAAAAAAAAAAGAAATTTTTATCTTTTTATCATTGTATGGTGGTTGTGTCTACACACTGCTAAGATACATTTATATGCAAACACCATGTAAAATGCATCCAACCATCCAACGTCTACTTTAAAATTGAAATATAATCTTAATTCAAATGATGAAGGATTTTGAAAGTGTGACAGTAATCAGTGTTGAGTACTACTGTAAGGTTTACCGTGCCTGGTTTACATGTTTGAAAATGATAAACGGTTGAAAAAATTATAAATTTAAAAAAGTAATCAAATGTAATCAGTTACATTACTTTTATAAAGTAATTGAAAAGTTACACTACTTATTACATTTTAAGTAGGGTAACTTGTAATCTGTAACCCATTACATTTCCAAAGTAACCTTCCTAACACTGCTATCTGCTGCTGCTAGCCCACCAAAAATACCTAAGTGGCTAACGTTTATTCACATCAGTCCAAACTTAAAATTCAATTCAAGTTTATTTATATAGCGCTTTTCACGATACAAATCGTTGCAAAGCAACTTTACAGCAAATTAAGTTTCTACAGTATTTAGTGGTAGCTTATCAGTGGTGACTGTCAGTTAATGTACATATGGCAGAAATGTATGGAAAAATCAATTAAAGGGTACAATGCTGTTTCAAGCGCTGCACGGGACTTGCTCAGGAAGAATGTCTCCAATCCAAAGAAGTGTGTTTTTGGTTGTAAGGGAAAGTTATCTTTGTTCAGCTTCCTAAAGAACTCAGCGTTATGCAAATAGTGGATAGTTTTTTTTCCAGGGCAGCAACAGAGTTTCACAAGTGTGTTTGTTTGACGAACGTTTTATAAACAAGGCCCAGTTCGACGCTGGATTTGCACATCGTTTGATACTGAAAGATGGAGCGGTCCCAGCTATAAAAGATCCCGGTCATGATTCAGAACTGCAGACGGTAAGTGAAACGGCATCAAATGTCTGTTTTGTTGGCATTCGGCGCCCAAGTGCTCGTCACTCTTTAGCTCCGCCCACTGCACCCCTCCAGGAGCTCGGCTTTTTCCGGAGAGAATCGTAAAGCTGTATCTTTCTTTTATGAATATGATAAAACTAAAGACTTTTTGGAGATATGAAGGATGCAGAACTACTCTATAGGTACTCAAGATTAACATGCGATTGGGTGAAACTGTGTGTGTTATGCCCCCTTTAAAGACAATCAATTAAAGACATAATCAAACAGACGATTTACACGATTAACAGCTTAAACTATTAACAACTTAAAAGACTGTTTTATGAGCATATTAGTTATTAGGCTCATCAGTAATAATGATGAGACTGTTCAAAGCCTGGTACCACGTGACAAATGACAAAAAAAAACTCATATGACTTTAAATCTGACCTCATATGTTGTAGTAATGAGTGAAGGATGGCACATACCTGGATCACACATTGGGCAACACTCTCCATTAATTTCATATTCTGCATTATTACATGCTGCCATACAAAGCACAATGTTCATGGTGAGAAGGAGAGGTAGTAATGTTGACAGATGAATGAAGGTACATATGTACATGTCAAGGAACTTAAAGAATCATCACTGGTCCAGAGGAGATCACACTGCATTCTTTTTTTCTTATGAAGCTGAAAAAGAAATTCATGTTAGATGGCTTTTAAAAAATAGAGAGAAACTGTGCCAGAACCTACAAACTGTTTACTGAACATGTCCTCAGCATCAGCAGTTGGGCTCTAAAACAATGTTTCATCTCTGTACCCGCAACCATGTCATCACTTTCATGTTTCTACAGTATTTAGTGGTAGCTTATCAGTGGTGACTGTCAGTTAATGTACATATGGCAGAAATGTATGGAAAAATCAATTAAAGGGTACAATGCTGTTTCAAGCGCTGCACGGGACTTGCTCAGGAAGAATGTCTCCAATCCAAAGAAGTGTGTTTTTGGTTGTAAGGGAAAGTTATCTTTGTTCAGCTTCCTAAAGAACTCAGCGTTATGCAAATAGTGGATAGTTTTTTTTCCAGGGCAGCAACAGAGTTTCACAAGTGTGTTTGTTTGACGAACGTTTTATAAACAAGGCCCAGTTCGACGCTGGATTTGCACATCGTTTGATACTGAAAGATGGAGCGGTCCCAGCTATAAAAGATCCCGGTCATGATTCAGAACTGCAGACGGTAAGTGAAACGGCATCAAATGTCTGTTTTGTTGGCATTCGGCGCCCAAGTGCTCGTCACTCTTTAGCTCCGCCCACTGCACCCCTCCAGGAGCTCGGCTTTTTCCGGAGAGAATCGTAAAGCTGTATCTTTCTTTTATGAATATGATAAAACTAAAGACTTTTTGGAGATATGAAGGATGCAGAACTACTCTATAGGTACTCAAGATTAACATGCGATTGGGTGAAACTGTGTGTGTTATGCCCCCTTTAAAGACAATCAATTAAAGACATAATCAAACAGACGATTTACACGATTAACAGCTTAAACTATTAACAACTTAAAAGACTGTTTTATGAGCATATTAGTTATTAGGCTCATCAGTAATAATGATGAGACTGTTCAAAGCCTGGTACCACGTGACAAATGACAAAAAAAAACTCATATGACTTTAAATCTGACCTCATATGTTGTAGTAATGAGTGAAGGATGGCACATACCTGGATCACACATTGGGCAACACTCTCCATTAATTTCATATTCTGCATTATTACATGCTGCCATACAAAGCACAATGTTCATGGTGAGAAGGAGAGGTAGTAATGTTGACAGATGAATGAAGGTACATATGTACATGTCAAGGAACTTAAAGAATCATCACTGGTCCAGAGGAGATCACACTGCATTCTTTTTTTCTTATGAAGCTGAAAAAGAAATTCATGTTAGATGGCTTTTAAAAAATAGCGAGAAACTGTGCCAGAACCTACAAACTGTTTACTGAACATGTCCTCAGCATCAGCAGTTGGGCTCTAAAACAATGTTTCATCTCTGTACCCGCGACCATGTCATCACTTTCATGCTTTCCACTGAAAACTTTTTTACATCGACGCGATTTCTTCCCAAAACGCGCGAAATTATTAATTCACTAGAATTAGCCCAATAATTTCCTTCACCGTTTTATTTATTTGTACTTTATCAAACAAAGTTGGATTTATGTTCAATAATTTATGAGGCGAATGTCCAAGACATGGTTACGTCTTTGCTGTAAGGGATTTCTAGTGGAAGTCTGGAAATATTTACCTGATGTATCCCTTGCCATTTCTCACTGTAAATCTTGTTGTATACGTTCAAATCTGCCGCGCCCGCGACTGCTTCTCTTCTTCCGGAGGTCGCATTCGAAGGCTGCATACGTCATCGAGACTGTCTCATTTCAGAAAAGCAAGTAGATGGTGAAGGAAAATTATTTCTAAATTTGGAAAGTAA